ACACTGTCCTAGCTGATGTAACAGGTAGAAAAGCACTAATCTAGACGTAGACAGGCTGCTGACCTAGACCTAGAATGCCAAGACTTCAGCAAAGAATCTTTTGTTCTCTTGGAGAATAAACAATAGATTTAATCTGTAACTTGAACAGGCTCGAGAAGGGCTGTGCTACCCATTCTCATAGATTAAAAAGTTATTCCATCTATATTCTGTACAATAAATTAGTAAAATGGTCACACTGTTAGTGGAGAGAAAAGTAAGTTCTTCCTTTGTGTGTTTTTGTACACAGAGTGTTATCCAACATTAAAACCCTTCCTATCTCCAATCATGATGGTAAATAATTTTCTGGGAAATCTTCCTGATAAATACTGATTACCATGATCTTAATACTAAATGGTAGGTAGAAAGCACATTCATATGAGCAAACCTTATAAATAAGATTAATTGCAATGCAGCATAAATATTGCAACTTGATCTAACTCAACTGGAATGCATATTAAGATGAAATGAATATAATCAACTGAAGGCAATAAAAGGTTTATATTAAGAGTCTTTATATATGGAGCTAAATTATGCTTGCCTCTTGTGTGCTAAAGTTAAAAGAAAATTTCTTTTAGAGTTTTTTTTTTCAATGGCTGATTTTAGTCTCTTATAAGTAAATGAACCAAAGCACAGTAATTTTGCAAAAGAAATCCCAGGAAATCCTGGTGTTAACATCTTTGTATAAATGATGTTTTTCTGTGAGAGATTTAAAAAACCTTTTGAATTTTGAATGCCTTGTTCTGCTACCTGCCTTGCTAACAGAAAAATCAACAATGGCTTCTTGAAATATTACAAAGCTAATTTTTATTTTGGCCATTTCTAGATATAACTTTGCATCATGGGAGCTTTCCCATTTTGTAGCTTGCAGATCGGCCTATGTAGTACTCTCATTTGCTTCTGAATCCATCCCTATATATCCCCCTATATACAAGTGAGTGATTTATAACAATCATAACATGTGGACACCTTTCTTTTGCCCACCCATTCACTTTCCTTAAAACACAGTAATTACAAACCTCACACAAATACATTTTTTCTACTGCACTTTTACACCAGAATACTAGAAACACATTGTAGATTTACCTTTTGAGTGCTTCAAGCATTATCAATAACATCAATTTGTTGCAATGAAAGAAACTATTCTAAGTAGAATTTTAATGCCAAGATTCATGAGATCATATCAAGTTAAAAAAAACCATATTAGGTATGATGAAACATGTACATTATGTGAGAAGTGTATTTTTGTTCCAGGGATTGCCTATGTAACATGATTATCCCCATTAAGAAAAAACATGAACATGAGAGAAAATGTTAATCACTAACCAAATGATGACAGAGCTGTCTGGAATCTCAGGGAAATCACATAATAAATTAAGTCATTTAAAAGTCAATTTGGAAACAGCTGGTCTGGATAAGAAGTCTCCAACTCAGCTAGTCTGCTTATACAATACTGACTAATCTTTCCAATGCCCATTTGAGAGCAGCACCATATGTACTCCACCCATCAAAGTCTACAGTTGTTTTCTCAATTCTTACATCAGGCTACAAAATAGGTCAAGTAGGATGAGTTATCCTCACAGTGAAATGATTAGGGCAAATTGGACGAAGTGGCTGCAAGAAGCAATACTTGTTCCTGTTTTGGAGAACTGGCCTTCTCCAGAAAAATAATCACCTATCTGGCTAATTTCACAGAAATCTCAGATTGTAAAGGTCTATTTCCCCTAGCTATAAAGAGGAAAGTTTTCTAAGACATTGCCTCTTTAATTGTCAGGCACAAACAATTAGATCCACACATGCAGAGTTCCAGCTAACTACTTAATTACATTCTGCCTATAATACAGGAATCTCCCCGGTCTGTGAACAATTGGAACTTGGCGGGTGGAGTAGATGTCAGCCCTAGTGCTTTTGCAATTGCACAGTGACACCGGGCTAGATTAATCTCACAAGCACAAGAAGTTTGAGAAACATAAGTATTTTATACATCCCAAAAGCACAGCTGTGATTTAGCCTGTTGATCTAATCATGATGGTACTTCTATCTCTTTAAAATCTATTATACAAAAGGAAAAATGATGCTAAAATTAAATCTTTTCATACCATCCAATTTCATAGCATCCAATTCAGATGTTAGTTTCAGTACTGAAGATGATGCACTTGCCAGGCATGGTATCTTTTTAAAAAAACTTTATTGATTAAAAAAAATTCAAAAGTTATTTACAGTAGTTCTGCTCCATAAAGTTCAAGCAAAAGAATATTTTCTCTCTTGCAAAGTTCCCATCCCACCTGAAACAATATCTTTGCATCATTAGGACAAAGTACAGCAGTATATCAAAGAGCAGCGCATTGCAGGAACTGGATTTTAAATTTTTCTTTTATACTAAAGTTTCAGATCTGCTTAGGCACTTTCTACAGCCCATTAGATATCCTGTGTATTATTTTAATCACACTGGTCCCATTCTAAAGGAAATCAGTGATATATGTACCATTAAAGTCAAGTAGGTTACTAGCCAAAAGTGTATTAAGAGGGACCTGGGATACATCTGTTCAAGGAATTTCCATTTCAATAGTACACTAAAATAATGCCCAATTCCAAGCAGTAAAAAAATGAAATGTTGCTGCACATTCTAGAAAACCTTGAGTGGTTTCCTTTTAAAGGGATTTAAAAAAAAGATCAAAAGACTGATATGTTCACCATCCAGAACTCAACTTAGGATGAAAACTGGATACAAGACTGATGAATGCCCTCAAACAAAATAGCAATAAATGAACAGCTTAAGCTTTTTCCAAGGCAGCTCTGTGGGCTTTTTAACAGAAGGGGGAGAGGGGAAGCACCTTTGGGTTATTTTAAAGATGACTTTGGATTGAAATGGCAACTCTCTAGGCACAGTTCGCTACATCCCATCAATGACATGGGACTAAGGGTCAAAGAGCACCAAAAAGAGAAGGGAATGGACAAGGCTATGTCCAGCAGCAATTGTGGGTTTATACTAATTCTCTTAAGTAGCACTTTCCAGGGGAAGGGGAGAAGGTTGAGGGGGAAGGCACTCAATATTGGTAGAAGCCGTAAGGCCTCCCACTTGGGCTCTAATTTTCCTACAAACCCTTTATTCTCCTCTCAAAATCTGCCATGAAATCAACCACCAGCTTCTAGGCCTGATTCAAAGATATCTGAGAAAAAGTTGTATTCTGCTGGGCTTTATCTTTACTATTCATGCAACATAATAATTAGGCTAACACCCTCTAAAATTAGTGTTTCTCAAGATAGATATATAGGTGTATATAATAGATCACTATTTAACTTACATTTACAGTGAAACAGCACTATTCAAAAAAGAGGTGGATGATTCTACCACCCAGGGTATGCCATTCTTGTGCGAGGTCTTGAACTCAGGGCAAAAGAGGATATGAAAAGATGAATGCATTCTTACTGGTCTGTCTTCTAAACGATCAACAGACAAGCCTTGATTTCCCTCCACCTAAATCCAAAGTGTACCCCTTTTCTCTAATTTTGAATAATAAAACTATTATTGGGTCCATCGAGACTATAGATATATGGAACACATGAACATCACATGGGAGCGATATTCAGAATTGCCTGTAGAATGGAAGCCCTGATCTGCTTGACTTCCCTTCTTGGCCATGAGACGGCACCCTTGCTCCATCAGCAAAGGAGCAACTACATTCAGCATGATGAAAGCAAGGATACAAAAATACCCAAGTCAGAATGAATTCTTGTTGATTTGTATAGGTAGTTTTGTCAGCGCATCTGTCAGAGATGCTGCAAGTTTCCCAAAGTCACACAGAGATACAGTTCATGTCCAAAATTAAAAAGGAGAAAGCGTTGTTTAAAGCAACTTCACATTTGAAAAATTTGTTTTTAGTTTCTTCCACACCTTTGATTTAATGCCCTCCTCCATGGTTTATGGCTACCCTTCTGCCAGCATAGTCCTCTCTCTCTTCTAGTGTTGTACTTATCAGGACAAATGGAAGGAGTAGACAGAAGAATGCTCTGTTATCAAAGAAACCAGCTAAATTTCTGCCAGCACCTAAAGTAGATCATCTAAAGCACCATATGCTTTTGTTTCTTTTACTGGCACCAATATTCACAAGGTGATGCTCATCTGCTCTTCCTGTCCAACAGAAAGAATGCCACAATCTTTAAAGGCTGCCAACTCATTTGTTCGTTATGGGAGACTCCCACCAGGTGTGATGTAAGGACCAGCCACATATTCACACCAGTTCAACAATATGCTACAACATGGTACAACTTTAAAAGAAAATGAGAGGGGAACAGAAACATTTCCCTGTCCCCTCCAAGAAAATTAAAAGTATGTTCTGTATAAAAAAAAAAAAAGCCAAGGGTGGTGAAACAGCTCCTTGCTTGTCTTGAGTTATCAAAAAGAAAAAAAAAGTATTTGTTTCTGATAAACTGCTTTGGACTGCTTTCTCGTCCTAGTCCATGTCAGTAAGCTTTGAAAATCTGGGGGAGAAGGGAGGGGTGGGAAGAAGGTAAGAAGTGTTCTCTAAATCCTCCACAATTTTTTTTTTAAAAAAAGAATCAAGCGTTATAAAAACATCAACCAGCAACTACATCTTCTCAGAAGATGTTCAAGTTTGGGGCCCTTCCAAGAACAGGAGCCAGAAACCCCTGAATAGACCATCTCCTCCAGGCGACTTCAGAGATACGCCGACTGGCTCCTTAGCCTGATGCCAACCCAAAGGATGAAGTAGTGTGTGCCCTCCTTTGAGGGAAATGTTTATATAAAGTTGGGGGTGCCTTGTTTCCAAGGTCAGCTGGCAGCATAAAGGAGAATGGAGGCTTCCACCATGACGGTTCCCGGTTTGACAAGAGACCGTATCACAGCATTAACTTCTAATGGGAGCTCTCGCTGCAAAAGCCAACAGAAAAGAAATTCTGGGAAAAAGAAAGGGCTGCCTCCGAGAGGAAACCAGAGGCTGCAGGAAGTTACTTGTTTTTTGCAGGAGAAGATTCTCTCTGTGGTGATGGAGGCAGTTGCCCACTCAGCTTCTGTGAATCAAGCTCAGCTGCTCTTTGCAGAGCCACTTCTACCAGCAACTGGAAGCTGCTGAAGTCCTCTCCAAAAAGCTCAGGTGGTGTTGGAGGAGGCGTGTTGAAGAGTCCACTGGTGGGACTGGATGCATCTGCCCGGGTGAGAAGAGCCAGCGTGTTGCCTGTTGCACTCAGCTGTGACTGCTTGGTATGGGATTCCAGTTCAATCCGTTGGAGCATGGATCGTTTCTCTAGGTCGCCGGTCATCACAGTCAAGTTGCCAGCCAGTGGCCGAGAAGTCTGGCAGATCACAGGGGGGCACACAGACATGGAGAGGACCTTGGATGTAGTGGCTGCAGCAGCAGGAGGAGGAGGCACCATCAAGAGTCCAGAACCTGCAGCAGCTCCACGGGAAAGTGCTACATCACTGGCTTTGGTGCCTCGGCGAGAAATAGTGAACTGGTTTGGGTCTTTGCCATCCTTTAGCAGCATGTCAGGGAGAAGTCTGCGCCTGGCATTGATGAACCAATTGCAAATCTGGAAGAAAGACATCAAAAACGTGGCATTAGATGTACCTGAAGCTGGAGGAAGACCTATGTGAACCCAAATCCCAGGAGATGGGATGTCTACCAGTAAAATGGGCACAAATATAACCATCTGTACAGAGAAATTTAAGTAAAACATTTAACTGAGAGAGAAGTTTAAAAATTAAGAGCAGCATTATTTTTCTGCCTTGTATTACAACAGCCTCCTGAGGCAGACTGGATTGAGACAGAAATGCAAAATTATTTACTATTATCTATTTATAAGAACAGGTAAGTTAAAACTTACTCATTTTTGCCCTGGGCCGATCCATTTTCCTGACATGCAACTATCTTCACAACTAGTGTGGTCTTCAGCTTAGAATTTTATTTTTTTTATCAGGAACTTATGTCTACACATAGTCCTCGACCCATGATCACACCTGGGATCAGAATTTCAGTCACTAAAGGATGCAATCGTAAGGCTGCCATTGTTAATAGAGAGTTGTGAGTGGTTAAGTGGAGAGTCCCAGGTAGGACTGCAGAGGTGACACAGGAGGGAGGGGAAGGCCGGCAAGTTGCAGTGGAGCGCTAAGCCACAGCCGGCTCTGGAAGCCTCAGCCACCAGGGCCAGGAATGCAGCATGAAGCTGGTGCCTCAGCCATCCCATCTAACCCAGAAGGTTACTTCCCCCCTCCCACTCACCTTTCTCTCCCCTAACCTGTTCCCTTTTGTCCACCCTGCATGGCAACACTCAATGGTGGCAGTATCATTGCTGGGGCTGAAGAAGATCCCAGGGTCATCGGAAGTCTGTCAGCTGCCACTGTCTCCAGGCCTCTAGTTCAGGCCCAGTGCCACATCACTGCCCCTGAGAAAAGCCACCTCAAGCTCACACCACGGCCAGCCATGCCAGCACCACTGTACAAAGCCCCGTTGTCCTGTCACTATCCACTCCCCAAGCTCTGCTGCACCCCACTGACCTTCGCTGCCTTAACCCATTCTCCAGCCCATGTGCCCCCATTACTTCTTCAAGCCAAGTTCCCATTCTTTCTCCAAGCCATGCATCCCATTCTTACAAACCTCCAGAAGCCTGGTCTTCCTCGTGTCCTGTGAGAGTTTACCCAGATCTCATGACAACAGGCTCACAATTTGAGAAGAAGTGGCACTCACAATTTGAGAAATGGTCTTCTGAAGCACTGCCAAGGACAGGGTTCCTCCTGTTCTCTAAACTGTGTGCCTGTTTTCATGATATCTGTGGAAAACCAGGTTTCCAAAGGATCTTGAGAACGAGACATGCAACTTAGAGAAGGAATGGTAAACGCAGCTTGGAGAACAGCACAACAGTCAGTGGGGCACAGCAAAGCCTGTGGAGGGCAGGGTGTTGGGAGAAAGGGGAGCTTTGTGCAGTAGTGCTGGCATAACTGTCCATGGTGTAGGATTTGACTAGGTATTTCTCAGTTGCAATAGTGGTGCTGGGACTAAAATAGGGCCCTGGGGATGGTGGCAGATGGCTGAGAGTACAATATTGAAGGTCTTGGATCTCTACTTCAGCCCCAGTCCTGCCATCGCTTAAGTGCTGCTGCCAAAGGGGAGGGAATAGGCTGGTGGAGGAACTGCAATGCAGTTATAAATGCAGGCAAGCTGCCAAGTGCCTGGGATTTGATCATGTGGATGCGATACAATGGCCATAGCTTCCGGCATGGGTTGCAAATTTTTTTTTCAGCACCATTACACTTTCAAATGGCCACTGAATGAATGGTCATATGTCAAGGACTAACTATATATGAAGTAACTAACTTAACTATATTCATGCACTTTTCAATTAAAAGTAAATCATTTTTTTTCAAAACTATCTACCTATATATATAAGTATAGTATTACAGTGTCCTTTTTCTCAAGCACAAGTTCCCTCCACTCCGCCAATCCAGTTTCAAAAACATCACAATGACGCTTTGGCCAACTATCACTAAGTGATTAGCTTTCCCAATTGCATACATGTTATTCTCCCTTTAATCTCATCCCCCAAAAGATAGATACTGCCTCTGAGCATTTTCAAGGCCCTTCAAAAAGTGGCAAAGAAAATTGAAAGCACCATTTACAATTTATCTTGCTTCCAAAAAAGCTTTAAAAACTCTGAACATATTTTCATGATTCCTTGTAACAGACAGAAGTTTTGCAAAAGAAAATAGAAAACACTTCCATTCAGGTGAAGCTCAGAATAGAAATAGGCTTTATGATTATAACACCATGATTACAAGACAAACAATGCAGGTTTGAAAACATTCTGCATTCCTTCCGCCTGCTTTTACTTTGAGGGGCAAGAATAGGGCTATTCAGTTGTCATTTGAATTTCTCTTTTTCTGTGTTACAAGCTGGGATTTGCCCAGCCAGCACAGGGTAAAAGCACAGAAGATTTCTTCCAAGATTCCAGGCATACTTTCTCTCATGCCAGATACGTTCAAAAGTGAATAAAAAGTATGCTGGTTGTCTCCTTTGTATAGGCCGGAGCATTCTAGCTTATGATCACACACCTTCAAAGTTCCAGTCTACTTCTTTTCAGTCCTAATTTGGCAACTTATAATATTACTTTCAACCAAAGGCTGGTTTTGTAAAAACAAAAACTGCCTGCCCAGAGTTTGCTTCATACAATTTATCTACAAAGAGATGATCATTCCTTAATTGGTTCAAGATCAAAGGAACCTGTAGGGCAATTCTTTTGTTCAACAGTAAAGCCTTCTTCAAATCAAACTCAACACCAGGTGACTCATGGACCTGCATCTAAGCAATTTGCAGGTGGTCTATTCTGCTTCCAGGTTACCTTTCTACCTCATCAATTTTGACAACAGCCTCTGCATTTCTTGGGAAAGATATGTCTGCCTCATTAAGATTTTGAGATCAGCCAAAGTCAGCTTGCTGTGAAACACTACAGAAATTAAGGGATTGAGCTTGGAAGAAGGGATATATTAGACTTAAATACAATAGTGCATGGTGTGTAAAATGTAAATAGTGAAAAGGTTTTTTTTTAATCTAATTCATGTTCATTCAGTGCAACTAAATCTGAGGTAATTCAGAATTGAGAAGACAACACAGCAACCAAAACTACATCTTGTATTATAAATACCAGCTGCTAGGTAGCAATAATGAAAAGAGTGCTACTATGAACTTCCTGAAGACAATGTGGGACACAGAATACTTAGACTGGTATACCATTTACAAGATCCACTAAGACATTTATGTTCTTATGAGCAAAGTCCAATTTTTACTTGATAGAAAGAGTACCGGACTATAAAATTACAACTGCCTCTAGTTAGAACCAAGTTTATTCTTGCCACACTGTATAGACCAGAATAGTTCTTATTCTGGCATAGAATACAAATGCTGCTAACTAAAATATTTATACCCACCTACTCACAGCTTATATTTGTATATTGTGTCTCCTATGTAAGACCACTTATTCCCCAAGATGGGTCCCTCCTCATGCAATGGGATCTCCATTCCCCAAATTATGAGGAAGCCTACAAAATGTCATGTTCTTGATGTCACATTCCTGGATGATTTTCCTCCCAAGAGAATAATCTGATGTAAATAAAGGCAATTTAAATGATTACAGGGAGAGAAAACAGCGTTAAAGTTTGCTAACTAGCGGATACATATTTTTCTGGAAGACTTCAACATTATTCATCACGCTTTTTATCCAGATCATCAATGTGGCTCTAAACTTATTCCCTGAAGTTCTTTTTAAAAAAAAAAGTTTTCAAAGAGGAAGCAGGGTTCAAAATAAAGCAACAGTTTCTAGCATCTTCTTTCTTTGCCTCAATCTCATGGGCCTGATGATGTTTTCCACTGGCAAAACATACAGAATCTTATACATTTGAGCTGAGTCCAGCATCTGCCTTTCTCATGTCAGCAGATTATGTTGCGTTTGCTGTACTGGGTTACATACTAGTTGTAATCTCAGTCTACTTATATGAGGTATCACATTGTTTTTGTGTTTATAAATGTATATAAATACAATACATTTGATCTCAGTGATATTCACCCCCTCAAAGCTTTCACATCTTAGAATTCTGAGCCGCTTCAGTATCAACTGATGGCAGCACCTCAATTCATTAAACACCTCCAAGTTGGCAGTAAATGAATAAAATTGCCAAGACTCTCCAGAAGCAGTACTGAAACACAAATATTCCTTCCCCTATTTCTTTCATAGGCATTAATATTTACAATATAACAGTTGACATTTTTGAGTTGCTTCTGCAAAAAATAACTTCAAAGGGGGTCAGAGGAAAAACTAGGTTAAATACAGGATATCAGTCCACCAAACTGAAGCTCACTTTTTATTAACTTTCCCCAACTTGACGTTCCCCAAATGTACTGTGACTGTGACTCCCAAGCTGCTAATATAAAAAGGCATGATATCGTTTCTATGATAATTGCTATGGTTTTCTATTTCTTCCAACATACTAAACCTACAATACAGATCCTTATGTACTGCCAAACCTATCTCAAATTTAAACAAGCTTGTACATCACCCTACAGTATATTTGCTTATGTGTTTCTGGTGCGTGCACAATTGCATCCTTTGAAACAAGCAATCACATTTCAATCTAGCCAGCTAGTGAAATTATGAATCAATTGCCAAAAGGTCAGAAGGAATTCCAATGTAATGCCATAACAAGTGAATTTACAGAATGTTGGGAGGCAGAGCAGCTAGTTATGCAATTTGTTTCATGCATATATTAGGATGCCATACAAATTTTTCTCCTCTTGAAAGCACAATGGAAATGCATGCACGCTTCAAAGAAAACAATTACGGAAATATAAATCAAGCAGATTGACTTATCTTTTTCAAATCTACACTGCTGAAAAATTTTCCCTCAAGGGCACATTACTACAAAATTCCCTTTCACCTTTTGTAGCATTATATTATGCCGCTGCAAAGATATAAACTTTCAAAACTATTCAGTTTTGAAAATGAACTGGTCAAAACTATGCAGTTTTGAAAATGAACTGGTCATT